GGAAGGAGCTAAAAGCTGAAGAACTACCACAATAAAACTCTGAAAGTTACAGTTTTAATGTGAAACAGACAGGAAGGAGCTAAAAGCTGAAGAACTACCACAATAAAACTCTGAAAGTTACAGTTTTAATGTGAAACAGACAGGAAGGAGCTAAAAGCTGAAGCTTTGCTCCCGCTCCTCCAGCATCATGGCTGCAGAGCGCTGACATCATCACTGACAGCTGCAGCTCCTTCCTGCAGGACTTTGTTCCAGTTTAGGGTTTTCAACCAACAACCATTAAAACAACAACTGCCTGTTGTTTCTCCTGCTCACCACACACGTGCACAACTAACGAGACACAGTTACAGGTCAGGATGCTGACGGTCCGGCAGCATGGTGCTTCCATCAGGTCACCTGTCCAGGTGACACACCTGTACTGTGAGCAGCAGCCAGGCTCTCTGACCTTTCATCACAGAGTAAATGATTGAAGATAAAAATATCAAACTGAACTTTTAAACAGACTGTCATGGTGTGGCTCCTAATTCATGTTTTCATTTCTACCTGCTCAGACTGTGTAACAGCTTGTTCACCTGTCTTCACCTGTCTTCACCTGAAACAGTTAAATCCTCTTCAGTTTGTCCAAAACTCAGCAGCAACACTCCTAACCTGAACCTCCAGATTCACCCACATCTCCCCGATCCTAGCAGAACTTCACTGGATTCTGGTTCAAAGTCCTGGTCCTCACCTTCAGAGCTCTTCATGGCCAAGCACCTGAATACATTAAAGGTCTCATTTCACCTTACAACCCCAGAGGAGACCTCCGCTCACAGGATCAACACCTCCTTATGGTTCCACTCACAGGATCAACACCTCCTTATGGTTCCACTCACAGGATCAACACCTCCTTCTGGTTCCCCTCACTCACTTTAAGACCCCTGGTGACCGGTCCTTCTCCTCTGTGGCCCCCAGGCTCTGAATGAACTCCCTTTAATCTGAGCTCCCTTCATAACATTGTCTCTTTAAAGAATCAACTAAAAACTCACTTTTTCACTAAGATGTTTATCTAACCATTTCACCATTACTGCAGGCCTGCCTCCACTGTGAACGCTTCACTAATCTGTGTTTATTATTGAACTTACTCCATATTTTCTCTCACATTCATTATGTTTTTGTGTATTATTGTGTATTTTGACCTGCATTGACCTTGTGTTTGATTTATAGTTTTAGAAATTAACTTTTGATTTGATGTTTTAATTTTTGTTGTTTATGTTTAATTATGTTTTTCTGTTTCATTTTATTCTTTTCACCATTTTTATACAGTTAATGATTGTACAGCACCTGGTGAATATATTTCTGTGAAAGGAGCTTTATAAATAAAACTTTACTTCCTCTTTATTACAAACTTTGCAGTTAGAATATTAAAAGCACTTTGTATGACTTTAWACACAAATCAAACACTTTCCAAACCTTGAAAACTGTGTTGTGTATTTTCAAGGATTTCCAGCAGCTGTGTGAAGCTGGTTCTTGGATCAGAGGGTTAGGGTTAACACAGGTGTGTGTCCCTGTGTGAATGTGAACTGGACACACACCAGTTCACACTGATGTTCTGAGGAGGATGAAGCAGCTCCATCACAACATCTAGTCAACAAACTCCTTGTGATGTTGTGTTGTCAACACAAACACAATGTGTGCTGCACACACACACACTCAAGAGGCAGAATGTGAGAATGGTTTCTATAAGTTGTGTGTACGGTTCTGTTGGGTCCAGGTGTGTCTTACCTGTGGTTTAACTCCTCTTCATCCTCAAACACACCAAAAGGCTTCATGGCGTCACACAGCTTCTTGGTGTACAGGTGGTCTATTTCTCTGGGGGGGGCCAGGCTGATGGCAGAGGTGATGCCGTAGTGTTTCTGAGGCTGCTGCCCCCCAGGCATCATGGTGCTGCTGCAACAACACAAATACACAAACACAAATACACAACTGGACGTTTGGAAGTTTTCAGATGGAGCTCCAGGGAACCGGAAGTTTGACAACTCTACATTAGTGTTCACACAGTCAGGTGTAAACAGACACACAATCAGCTGCACCTCATTCAGCACAGGGTACAAGATAATATAACACAATATGGGTCACGACTGAACAGAACCGAACCACGAACCGTTCCCAAACATGTTAGCTAAGTTAGCACGGGTTAGCTAGCTGCTACGGAAGACTTGCTTTGACTAATGACTGTACTTCCGGTAGATTGTATCATTTCTCTACAGCAAACTTCACAAGTGAAACCAGATTATTGTTGTAAGAAGTGACACTGAAGCTGGTCAAAGACAAGCAGCCTGATCAGACACGGTGGCTGCAGGCCATGTTGTTAGCTACCTTAGCTTTTAGCCATGTTGTGACTGCTGGCTAGCTTTAGCTTTAGCCTATTCTTCATGTGGAAGCCGAGGAGAAGCAGCTTTAACAGAGGACAGGTGTGTGCAGGACTCACCTGGACATCTCTTTCATGACAAAGTAAAACAGCTGCAGACTTTTTCTGCTGCAAAGAAAGAAAGAAGAAGAAAAGAGACCAGCTTCGACCTGCTCAACAATGGTCCCTTTCCAGAGTTTAGACCGCCCCCTGAACCGGAATTAGTCAGATCCACAGGAACACGGCTGGTTTCAGATTATCTTTAAAACTACAGCAGCTCCTTTAACCTGCAGCAAAACAACCAGCTCTTTATTAACTACAAACACTGACTTTATTTATTAAAGCTACAAACGTCACGAGCTTTGTTCTAACCACAGGACACGGTCACGTGACCAGGTGGGCGTGTTACACAACCTGACGGTGCTACACAACAACACACGTTTTATAACAAACCATGGATTTATTTACATCAAACTGTGTGAATGTAGAGTTTACTGTTATTATTTACATGTTTACATCAAACTGTGTCAATTAATGTTTAACTTAACATTAATGTGTGTGTGTCTGTGTGTGTGAGTGTGTGTGTGAGAGTGTGTGTGAGTGTGTCTGAGAGTGTGTGTGAGAGTGTGTGTGAGTGTGTCTGAGAGTGTGTGTGAGTGTGTGTGTTATG